TGTATTATGAATTTATGTCCAATATATTTACAAATGATTAATAATCAGTTACTTTTGAAATGAAGGCAATTGAAAGCCATATTAATAATATGTGTCCTTCCGATCCCGGTTTTGATTAGATGTACACTCTATGGGCGATCATCCCTCATATTAAATGTCAAATACAATGTTTGTTTCCATAATATAAGATCCATTTTATTGATTAGCAAGCATACATTTGTCATGAACATGTTTGTGATTTTATTGAATTTAATTTCTATAATGATAACATTTTTCTCAAAGATTTAAGGAAACAAAATTAGAAATTGTATGAGAAATTGCTCAAGTAAAATATGGTGTTATATTTAAAATTAATTGCATTACACTTCTAATGACAAATTCTGTTATTTATTTTTCTCAGCTATTATTGTTGATCGCAAATCATATATTAAATTACTATTTAATAAAAACTTCTCATATAATGTGTTTTAGTTTTGCAATATTTTATTAAACTTATGATTGCATGCAATTTAAAGTGTGAAACATATATTAAAAATTGCTTTATTATTGAGTTTTTCAGATATAATTTATTTCCGAGAAATCATTACTTTTAACACAAAAGGAGTTTAATTTTTCAGAAAACTTTAGCTCAAAGAATTGACTTTTAACTCAATATTCTCAGAAATATTTGATGACTCGTTATATTTGGACTGAAACTATGAACTCATTGCACAATTTTTAATCTATGTATCAATCGATTTGATATTAAATAATATGTCTATTTATATGAATGTTTGTGTGATTTGCGTTCAAATGTAACAACAATTCATTGAATTAGAAACGGTTATTTTCGTGGAAAATCACGAGATTATGGGAGATTTCTTTTCTATACACTAATGATAAATAAAAAAGGATAACAACTCATCCTCTTTTGGATCGCAAACTCTTTTCCACCATTTAATGACATCATTAAACCCCAGCCGCCGATTGCGATCAATGAATGATTTGCCCATTTTTTGCATTAAACCATAAATTGATACCTTTTTGTGAATTTCAAAATTCATTTCTCAATAGCACCTGAACTTAATGAGCCTGCACAAAAGCACTCAATAACTATGCCATTAATCCTTATGAATCAATAACTCATTTAAGACACACTTTATAGGATTTTTAGTATAGTATACTGGATTATAAATATTTAGTCCTTTTTACCATTTATGTAATCTTTTTATCCATGTTTTAAATGAAAATATGTAATACTTTTCAAACACAATGCAATAAAAAATAATTAAATTTTAATTGAGTAATTAAAGTAATGTATTCATTGTCAGATGTTTTCTATTTTACTCAATTAAATTATTAATAATAAATTAGATAAAAAATAACTTTAATTTAATAGACTGTGATTGAGATAAACAAAAAAAATCTAATTAATATACAATTTATTTAAGATACTTATATCAAAACACCACTATAATTATTGAACTTAACTTTATAATTTGAAAATAATTTTTAAACATTAGAAAGAACTTTAAGAATTAGTTGATTAAACTTGATCTCTTTAAATAAAATAATATAGATAATTTTGCTGGACACCCACTGTATTCACAAATGCATATTTGATAAACGATTTGTTAATTTAATAAAAAGTTATATAAAGAGAGCATTAGTTTTGTATCTTTGCTATGAAAGCAGTGATTAATAAAGTTTTGCCAAAAAAGAGGATATTTTAGTAATTATTTCTCGTAATCCATGTTTCGATTCGCGAAAATCATGTCTTTTAGTAATGAAAAGATGTGTCACTTTATATACTATTAGATTAATGTCTGATTCATTGAGTTATTCGTTAAGATATTCATTTTCAAGTTTCAAAGCTTTAATAACTTTTTTATATTTTTGTATTGTATAACGAGACTCCAAATATGATTGATTTCAAGAAATATTTCTTAAGTTATGAAATAAATGTATTGAACATTATATAATGAATGATATATTGTTCTGGTGTATAATATACTAGTGTATTAAAACTGTAGACCAAAAGTTATTAAATTGCTTTTTTGTATCAAATGTACTGTACTGTGGGTTAAACTACTCTTTAAATCTTTAAAGTCTATGTTTAAGTAGTTTTTTAACGTTAATTAATTGTGTGCAATTTTTTAAATAGATTTTTTTGCTCGTTACATTTTTTATCTGCAAAAAACAAAAATAGCTATTTTTAGTAATATATAAATGTCTATTAGAAGAATAACACAATTATAATTAACTTTATTACTATAATATAATTATTTTATTAAATTTAATGAAACTAATATATAATCATAATTTTTATATTCTGTTATAAAGTTGTTTACTAAATAAAAATAGTAAAATGCAGTATAATTAGTATTATAAGGACATATATAATATAGTTTAATTAATACAGCTATGGATGAAACCTAAACTATTGATCATAAGTTATCTAAGAGATGCTATTTATTATTGTTTTTGTATCATTGCTTTAGTTATTTGTCAGATATGAATACATCTCTTATTGAGATTGTTATTCTCATTGAGGAAAAAGCAAATTATATCCATTCAATTCAGTTCTACATAATTTCCATTCACTGTATTATGAATTTATGTGCAATATATTTACAAATCATTAATAATGAGTTACTTTTCAAATGAAGGCAATTGAAAGCCATATTAATAATATGTGTCCTTCCGATCCCGGTTTTGATTAGATGTACACTCTATGGGCGATCATCCCTCATATTAAATGTCAAATACAATGTTAGTTTTCATAATATAAGATCCATTTTATTGATTAGCAAGCATACATTTGTCATGAACATGTTTGTGATTTTATTGAATTTAATTTCTATAATTATAACATTTTTCTCAAACATACATTTAAGGAAACAAAATTACAAATTGTATGAGAAATTACTCAAATAAAATATGGTGTTATATTTTAAATTAATTGCATTACACTTCTAATGACAAATTGTTTTATTTATTTTTCTCAGCTATTATTGTTGATCGCAAATCATATATTAAATTACTATTTAATAAAAACTTCTCGTATAATGTGTTTTAGTTTTGCAATATTTTATTAAACTTATGATTGCATGCAATTTAAAGTGTGAAACATATATTAAAATTGCTTTATTATTGAGTTTTTCAGATATAATTTATTTCCGAGAAATCATTACTTTTAACAAAAAGAGTTTAATTTTTCAGAAAACTTTTGCTCAAAGAATTGACTTTTAACTCAATATTCTCAGAAATATTTGATGACTCGTTATATTTGGACTGAAACTATGAACTCATTGCAAAATCTTTTAATCTATTTATCAATCGATTTGATATTAAATAATATGTATGTTTGTGTCATTTGTGTTCAAATGTAACAACAATTCATTGAATTAGAAACCGTTATTTTCGTGGAAAATCACGAGATTATCGGAGATTTCTTGTCTATACACTAATGATAAATAAAAAAGATAACAACTCATCCTCTTTTGGATCGCAAACTCTTTTCCACCACTTAATGACATCATTAAACCCCAGCCGCCGATTGCGATCAATGAATGATTTGCCTATTTTTTGCATTAAACCATAAATTGATACCTTTTTGTGAATTTCAAAATTCATTTCTCAATAGCACCTGAACTTAATGAGCCGTTTTGTGCACTCAATAACTATGCCATTAATCCTTATGAATCAATAACTCATTTAAGACACACTTTATAGGATTTTTAGTATAGTATACTGGATTATAAATATTTAGTCATTTTTACCATTTTTTGTAATCTTTTTATTCATGTTTTAAATGAAAATATGTAATACTTTTCAAACACAATGCAATAAAAAATAATTAAATTTTAATTGAGTAATTAAAGTAATGTATTCATTATCAGATGTTTTCTATTTTACTCAATTAAATTATTAATAATAAATTAGATAAAAAATAACTTTAATTTAATAGACTGTGATTGAGATAAACAAAAAATGTAATTAATATACAATTTATTTAAGATACTTATATCAAAACACCACTATAATTATTCAACTTAACTTTATAATTTGAAAATAATTTTTAAACATTAAATAAAATAATATAGATAATTTTGTTTGCTGGACACCCACTGTATTTACAAATGCATATTTGATAAACGATTTGTTAATTTAATAAAAAGTTATATAGAGAGAGCATTAGTTTTGTATCTTTGCTATGAAAGCAGTGATTAATAAAGTTTTGCCAAAAAAGAGGATATTTTAGTAATTATTTCTCGTAATCCATGTTTCGATTCGCGAAAATCATGTCTTTTAGTAATGAAAAGATGTGTCACTTTATATACTATTAGATTAATGTCTGATTCATTGAGTTATTCGTTAAGATATTCATAAGCTCTGCTTTTATCGACTTATTTATGGGTTAATAAACTTTTTTCAATACAAATGTCACACAGAAATAGCTGTCAATTTGCGAGGGACCATTAATGGTCACCAATTTCTACACCTATTATGCAATAGTGGCTCACATACCCTCCCACTACAAATAGTGTACAAATAGTGTTTAAGCTCAATGACTTTAGTAGTAATAAAATTAGTATTGATTATCAATTGAAATGTTTATAATGTTCACGACAATTTGTTCACTTTATTGTTGTCATTAAACTCATGTTTTATCTGTTTATTAAGCATTTCTTTCAACTTTTTATACTTCTTTTCACAGAATGAATGTCAAGAATTGGACACAAATATGAGTCTCGAGTGCAGACATAGGCAATAATCTAATATTTGTTCAAAATAAGAGACAATAATTTGTAAATAAATGACCAAAAGAAGCAAAAATATAAAATTAAAAGCACAAAAATATTGATCTCAAAATAGCGGCCGAAATATAAATACAAATAAATAAGAAGTTCATCAATAAGTCAATAGAAAGGACTGCAGAATATAATAATAATAAAGTGTTTTTCCATTTATGGAGAGAAAACACAAATTGATATCTCTTTGAAGACGAGTTTTTCGCTGATATTCTGATATTCTTTGAGCTATTATTGTATTATTGAGTTGCGATTCTTGTCTATTATATTTCCAATACTACACACGAGTATTAAGACTCATATTCTGTGCCATTCATATTAACTATAATTTGAAAGTAATTTCATTGGATATACAATACTGCGGTGAATGTAATACCGTATATATAATAAGTATAATAAGGAATCGTAACAACAAAACCATATTACAGTAAATAAAAATCGCAAGAATTGTTGAGAGAAAGACGAAAAAAGATTATTCAGAATCGGATGATAAATATTGTCTGATTGATGGCATCGATTGGCCACTGAATCCCCAAAAGCAATGAATTGAACGCAAATAATATGAATCATGCGATGAATAGGCATTTGGCGGACGTGTCCGCACGTAATGCTGTTTACGTGTTAGACATCGACCCAAATATGTTTGAATCGCTAGATGTGACCACAGAGTCATCACACGAGATATACCTGACAAACAACGCCAGCTTTGGTGGTCAGCACTCGGATGCGGACATCGATGACGGGGCAGAGGAAACGCCAATCGGTGTCCAAATATTGATGTGTTTGATGTATATGACCATATCGTTGGCGGCCATTGGGGGCAATGGAGTGGTTATATACATAATCTTTGCGTACAAACGCATGAGAACTGTGACCAACTTCTTCATCATGAACTTAGCGATCGGTGATATGCTTATGGCCTGTATTTGCATTCCCTTCGCATTCGTGTCTAACCTAATCCTCGGCTACTGGCCTTTTGGGGCCATTATGTGTCTGTTGGTGTCATACGCACAGGCGGTCTCCGTATTCATAAGCGCCTACACTCTGATCGCTATATCCATTGATCGTTACATCGCTATTATCTATCCTCTGAGACCGCGAATGACTAAATTGCAGTCAAAACTAATCATAATTATCGTGTGGATTGTGGCACTACTCACACCTTTGCCAACAGCACTACTGTCCAGATTGAACCCATTACCACAAGACCCAAACGCCACCACCACTATTGATAGCATAGATAATCAGCCCGTACTCTACCAGTGCACTGAGAACTGGCCTCGAGAGGACTATCGATATTATTATTCAATGTTATTAATGATATTACAATACGCCTTCCCTTTCTCTGTACTCATATTTACGTATTCAAGAATAGGTCAGTAATAGTATACATATGATATGCCAAACGATTTTTTCCTATTTTCTCATCTCATCCTTACATATATTTCTCCCATTTGTCTTACTCTACAAACAATGGCTCTCTCTCTCTCTCTCTCTCTCTCTCTCTACTCTCTCTCTCCCTCTCCCTCTCTCTCTCTCTCTCTATTTTTATTTTGCTTTACTCTATTCACTCCATTTCCTATTCAAACACTCACTTCAAATAAGGATTTCATTTATACATATAATCGTTTAATAATCAAAATGAGACAATCGATTGCTAAGAAAGACTAAACTGATTGTAATTTTTGTTTCGGTGAAGCAATCGTTGTTTGGGGTAAAAGACCCCCCGGAGAGGCCGAGGATGCGAGAGACGCTCGGATGGCAGCTTCCAAACGAAAGGTCTGTGTTTTTGCATTTAATTATAGTTTAAGTCATATATAATGGCACTGTTTTGGGGGTCGTCTCGCGCCGTATATACCGCGCAATTGTTACCGGAATTCGGTTCAATTTATAGCTTTTTTATTGAACTTCAAGAATTGATCCCAATTATTAGACACAAGAAATGATTCAATACTATACTATTTACATGTCCATCAAATTTGACTCAAATATCTCTATTCGTTATAATTTTATAATAAAATGAAAACAGTGCCACTATATATGACTTATAGTTTAATTGCATTACAGATTGAGTTGAGAATATTTTCACCAATTTTTCACACACAGAGAATTTGATTCAAAACATTTTATTACTCACAAAAATCAAATAAATATATAAAAGAATTTTATTATTAAAGAGTGACTGCACTCCAGAATTGGATTCAAAATAATTCATAAACTTATTCTTCAGTAGTATTTATTTCAAATATAATATAATATTTGAAAAATATGTAAATGAGTTCACAAAAGATAAAAATATATATAAATATTTCACAAAACCGTGTAAAAGCCATAACACAGGAACTCGCAATTTAATAATATTGACTGTCTTTAAGTTTAATAACAAAATTCATAATACTGTGGGCCTTGAGGCTTTTTCTTAAAAAATAAATAAATAGATTCTTATGAAAACAGAAATTTTTAAATAGTATTAACCATTAAATAAAGTAAAGCGAAATATTGTTTAAACATAAGGTTTGCTAGAATAATTTAATATAGATTAAATTTTACTTCAATTTAAAACATGATTTTTTATGAATTAGTAATAAATATTAATAAAAATAAAATGTGTAGGTGGTTTTATATTAAATAAAGCATTGAAGCTTATTGAGTTTTAAATTATACATATTTTTCAATTAATATTAATATAAATATTTTGCAAAACTGTCACCACTTATAATGATTTTGCTATTAAACAAACCGTCATATAATAGGTTTGAAGGCTAAAGAATTTTAATGTATTTTTTCAGATCACTTAGCATTTCAGTTGCAGATATTCATAGAAATTGTCTTTAAGTTTGAATATATGACAAACAAATTCTTACCGGTATATATTCACATAGAATTTATCGTATTATTCGTTTTCATATGTGATAGCATTATAGTGTACAGAATAGTTCAAGCAACATTTTTCAAAACATTTCTAGAAAATTTCTCCCTGTTCAATACGAGTATGTTACTAAATTTAGTTATAATAAATTTGTTTTGTAACAATTTAAAATTCCTTTTATTACTAATAATTATCTATTGACTGTAATTTATTTTATAAAATTAATATTAAGTTTAAAGTATTATTGCTCTTTTAGTAAATTTCTAGAAATTATGCTCAAATGTTCAAGCATATTCAACACCAATATTCTTTGTCAAACCAAATGACAATAGAAATGCTTAAGAAATACTTAAAGATTTATACATATTTTTCAATTAATATTAATATAAATATTTTGCAAAACTGTCACCACTTATAATGATTTTGCTATTAAACAAACCGTCATATAATAGGTTTGAAGGCTAAAGAATTTTAATGTATTTTTCAGATCACTTAGCATTTCAGTTGCAGATATTCATAGAAATTGTCTTTAAGTTTGAATATATGGCAAAAATTCTTACCGGTATATATTCACATAGAATTTATCGTATTATTCGTTTTCATATGTGATAGCATTATAGTGTACAGAATAGTTCAAGCAAAATTTTTCAAAACATTTCTAGAAAATTTCTCCCTGTTCAATACGAGTATGTTACTAAATTTATTTATAATAAATTTGTTTTGTAACTATTTAAAATTCCTTTTATTACTAATAATTATCTATTGATTGTAATTTATTTTATAGAATTAATATGAAGTTTAAAGTATTATTGCTCTTTTAGTAAATTTCTAGAAATTATGCTCAAATGTTCAAGCATATTCAACACCAATATTCTTTGTCAAACCAAATGACAATAGAAATGCTTAAGAAATACTTAAAGAATGCAATGATTTTTATTTGTGAATCAAATTCATATTTCTTTATACTTATAGAATATTTGTTGATTCAATCATTTGATTGCACTTTTATTTAAATGGATATTCATCCAGGTGTAAATTGAATTAAATGTACACAATAAAGTCTTTTGCTATCACCACTTCAATCATTTTGAAATATTTTTATTCTCAAAATTCTTAAAATTCTAAATTTTCTAGATTCTTTATATTCTAATAAATTTTCGCTTTTTCAATTTAGAATATTAATATATTTTAATAATGTTTTTGTTTTAAATGTTCAGTGGATAATAAATAATATTAGTAAATATAGTGCTAAGTGTATTTTGAATTTAATTAAATATTAAAATGGAATTTTTGAGATTTTTTTTAATATAATAAAAAATCATTTATTTCAACTTGTTTTATGGTTATAATAATTTTTATTATAAAATTATCTTAAAACGGAAGTATTATTATTATAATTTAAAGTTTAAACTGAATTTTGAATTCAATATTTATTATGTTTTGTGAGGTTATTAACACACTTTACTAAATGATTTAACTAAAGTACAATATGAGATGAAATCTATGAGTGTCAACGACTTTTACCATCAATTTGATCAATATTTAAATTTAATCCCGGGTTAGGAAGCGATACAATTGTGTGATTTGAATGCCTAGTACTTCATAATAGAAGTTCATGGAGTTATCAAACAAATAACCCTAACCTTCGTATGATATTTGGTCTGAAAAATAAGATATATTTTTTGTTTGATATCTGTTAAGTGGAAAATTTTCAATTCAATTCTGGTTTTATTTTTGTATAGAATACCAGAATCTATTGAAACGAAATGATAGATTGAGTCATCAATTTTATAATTGAATGATTTTTATCATTTTATGACAATATTGTCATATTATGCTTATATTATGTTACTTTGTAGTCCCATTTTATTGCATATTTTTATATCAATTTTATGTTTTATTGGATTCTTATTTGAATTCTTTTTAAATATTAATCAATTTGAACTAGTCAATATAATTTATAACATACTTCATATCCGATATGACATATCGCATAACATATAAATCATTTATTATTATATATTAGTTAATAATTTACGAAAAGCATACAAAATAACAATATTATAATAATCAGTTAATACTTTTATCTAACTTATAAAATGTGAGAAAATAATATACATAATGTTGAATGTTGGATTTTATTATAGCACACATTGTGTAAATAATGAACTTGTGTAAATTGTGTAAAACATTTCATTGATTGCTCATTCACGTCAGGACTTTCCAAATGTCTGAGCCTTTAGAAAACAGACCTTTGTTAATCCTTTTCACAAAAGATTTAGACATTTGCTATGTTTCCATTGATTCTGATAATTAGGATACACTGTATCGGAAAGGCATCTAAAGGTCGATCACATGAGATCTCACTTTTCAGAAACTTTTTTACTAAAACGAATTTTTCTTTTCTTTTATTATTTATCGTTATTTTTAACATTTATTTTGCGGCTATTTCTTCATTAATGATCTTAAGTCTCAATAAAATAAGTCTAATATTGACTTTATTTGTGAAACATAAGTGCATTATTTATAGTATATTCAATTCACTATACAGTATAACTGTAATGAACCACAAATATCAGACAAATCCCTTTCATATGAAATTAATTGATTAGAAAACATTACCTTAATTTTTAGAGTACACAAAATATGACCTATAATCTATTTTCAAAATGAATTTGCATACGACTAATACATAAATAATTTAATTTTACAAGTTTTGTATAAATTAATGAATTCGTGTATGAATTTCACATTAAAGTTTTGAATCAAATATTCTGAAAAATTGCGAAATAAATAAAAATAAATGTACTAATTGAGAAATATATGTTTAAATTCAATTACCTATTAGATGATCAAAATGATGATCACATGTGTGGCCACATTCACACTCTGTTGGCTTCCGTTTAATATACTTATAATAGTGGGCGACGAGTATAAAGAGATTTACGAATATAAAGATATTATATTCGTATGGTTTGCATGTCATTGGCTTTCAATGTCTCAGTGAGTATCACGTTTTAAATGTATTTATTATATAAAATTAGATCTTATACTAAATGGTAATGGAAAGTAGTGAACACAAAACTAATTTCATTATCTAGAACACTTTCTAATGGTTATCCGAATATATAATATTAGGTTTACATACTACCCACCTAAAATAAATGTGAAATTAACCATAACTTAAGAATAGATTTATATGAACTTTGAAAAGAATTTTGTGTGTAATTTCAGCGCCTGTTATAACCCATTGATCTACATCTGGATGAACGGGCGATTTAGAGATGGATTTAAATATGTTTTCCGTTGTCTGCCGTGCATTAAACAGCCGGCCCATAGACCCGACTTCAACGGATTGCCGCACTTCAGTACATCAGCCAATGCTTCGGGCGTTAAGCAGAGTATGAAACGAATGAACACTCAATTGCATCGAAACGGAGT